GCGGAATTCGATTCTGTTGATCGTGATGTACTGTAGCATTGTGCCACTAAACGGTGTACCAAAGAAGTACATTAACCTTATACAAGCTCTCTACTCGAACACTATAGGCCGAGAAAGAGCTTATGGCGAACTGTCATCGGAATTCTTCACTTCAAGTGGTGTCCGTCAGGGCTGTCCACTCTCTCCATTCTTGTTCAATTTTGTCATAGACATGCTCCTAGATATAACCTTATCCTTGTCTAAATTTTCAGGAATTGACCTTCCTACCAGGACCCTCGCTTGCTGACTTAGAATATGCCGATAACATACCGGTTAGTAGGTAACTGCCTACTACACCCAGACAGTCTAACAATGATTCCATTCATCATTACAATCAAACTCAACCTCCTCCTCCTCCCAAGATAGCGGCGGCAGTATAAACACTGCTTAGTTAGTCAGTCAACCATCAACACGATTCAAAATAATCCACAATAGTAAAACTTTTGTTTTTCACTCAAATTCTGATCATGATAATAACAGTAATAATAATAATAAGTACAGAAAATCGATTCTAGAAATTACAAAAGAAAAAAAAGAAACAGAAAAGAAACGAAGCGAAGAGAAAAGAAAACACCAAAAGAAATTTTAAAAAAAAAAATCTATTTTGATAACATTTAGAATACTAATCATCATCATCATTTTCATGATAACATGTCAATGTGTCATCAATGATAGAGCACTATTGATCATTGTGTGTGTGTGTGTGTGTGTGGGGTGATCGATCCAGTGAAAAAGCAAAATAAGCCAATGAATGAACAAGCAAAATTGAAAGGTTAAAGAGAGAGAGAGAGAGAGAAGATAGATGGTAAGTTGGTCAACTATGTATGTGTCTATCTATCTATCTGTCTACCTATCTACTCGCTGTCCTGTCTCACCACGATCCAGCTCAATTCCTCCTTGGAAATGTTTGTTAAAAAGTTAATTTCGTTGATTTTTTTTTTAATATAAAGTGTGTTGTGCACATATACATAATGCAGCACAGAATTCTTCTATTATAATGATGTACATAGAAATTGTATAATCTAGGGGCAATGTGAATAATTTTAATGATGATGAATGAATAGAAGAAACATTGAAAATATATATATATATGCATCAATGTATTTGGCACACAAAATATCCAAAATAGTAGTAAGTAATGAAATGAATGAGAATAGAAAAAAAACAAACAATAGAATAAGCTAATTATTGATTAATCAAAGCATATGTTACGTGTGTGTGTGTGTGTGCATGTGTGTATGTGTGTGCATGAGTACCTCTTTTTTCCTAGTGTATGTTTATGACTAACTATTGAATAACAAATTGATTGATTGATTGGATTGACTGACAGGAACTGAGACATACAAACTTGAAGTACACACTTGTAGTTACTGTAGTTGTTGGAGTAGTTATTAGCACTTACTGATAAAGGCGGAAGGAAGTCTGCAGTTTAATGAATAGTCTGTTTGAAAACACTTGTCCACAGTAGTGTGATCGTAAGTAGTAGCATAGACAAGAGAACAAATTAACGAAGGAAGGAAGGAAGGAGCTGGATATCAAAAAGGAAGGAAGAACACACAACAAACACTAAGCGTACAACAGAATATCATCTGCAATGGACTATCTCTGTTGGAGTAATTTAAAAAAAAAACTGGAAGAGAAATAATAAACAAATAGCAAGTCATTTTTTATGAGTCGGGAAATATCTCTCTCTTGTTATCATCATTATCATCAGTGTGTTGTATAAGGCCAATTAAATTTGTAAAAATCTTATTTCTTCTATAGAAAAATAATAATAATCAACACCAAAAGCAGTCAAACATACACACAGAGAGAGAGAGAGATGCGAGAGGTTGGCAAATAAACATGCGAAACACAAGGAATGTAAAGTTTGAAACATACACACACAAACACACACACACACACGCATATATATATATATATATGTATACACAAAAGAAAATTGCACCAATTCAAGTTTTATATTGCTTCAATTAAGTGTATACCATCTGTATGACTGACAGCAGCTATAGTAGACCATGGTTTCCAACTCACTTGTAACCATTTACGTCCAACATCTACAGTGAATAACGACTCATTAATATTAGGATGATTGTTAGTGCTATTATTATCGGAAAATGATGTTTTAGGCAAATTCTCATTCATATCAATTAGATCATCGTGTATTCTACGTGGCCATGGTAATAATTCTGCACCACCACTATCACCAGATGTTGATGATGATGATGTTGAAATGATAGGTGTGATAAATACTGAACTACTACTGCTGTTATTATTATCATCAGTAGTAGTAGTAGCAGCAGTTGTACGAAATAAATCATGGAATGTATTATTAGTATCTTCATCTTGCATAATTAATTTATATGAACCTTCAATTGGATTTTGTCGATCAAATACTTTGATTGTATTATTATATGAACCGGTCATGATACAACTAAGAAGAGAAGAGAAAAGAGAAAAGAAAAGAAAAGAAAAGGTAGAAATGTACTCGTAGTTATTCTTTCTTTTTCATTGACAGTTCTTTTTTTGCACTATAACAACTACTATTCTATTTGTAAATCAATTGGGGGTTCGAACTTAAGACTTAGTAGGTAAAAGTCAATCGTTTTAACTACTACTACTAACTAAATAAATGCTTCACATATCTTGGCGAGCATGTGTTGTGTATGCCTAACCAACGACTGCCTCGTCGATCTATATTCTGCGATGTCGGAATAGGTTAGAAGAAAGCTAAGGGAGGCCAGATCAAAACACGGGCAGAAATCAATAAAGTCACTGACAAGTGGACTGAGTCATGTTCGTAGGTGTCGACTATCTGGTTGAGGTCCGCGAGATTATAGTAGTCGATGGTTAGAGAGAGAGAGAGACCCTGAATGACATGGCTCAAAACCGTTTGCAATAGTGCAGGTGCATTCATTCTTTGTGTTCTCTCAAATCCTAATCTCCAGAGTTCTTCATCACCTTTATCTTTTTCTTTTAAGTTTATTTCACTAGATTCTACTTCTTGAATAATCTCTTCGAAGCCTAATCTCTCCGAATACAGCTAATACTTTAAATACCTCTACTACTATGGGATTTGAATTGACAATTACATCTATGTGCTAATGTGGTATGGAAAGTTAAACTGATGTACGTACGTACAAAGTTCTATAGAATGGATGTGACCAGCAGTGGAATCTAGGACGTGCGTTTCGTCTTATTTAGGACTCGTCTTTCGTTGGATGTACCTACACATTCCATACTTGATGTTCACCCCGGGACTCGAACCCAACACTATCTTCCTTCAAACACAACCGTGTTATCCATTTAGCTACTGAGTTCAGTTAGCCACTTACTTGTATAACGTGTATGAGATATATTTCATGATAGATCTTAACCGAGGCAATCCGTATAGGATAGATGCACATATGCCAAACTTCAGTCAAAATATGCACAACACAACATGATAATCTGTACTCGCTTCGGCGCAACACATACTAAAATTGGAACGATACAGAGAAGATTAGCATGGCCCCTGCGCAAGGATGACACGCAAAATCGTGAAGCGTTCAATATTTTTTTCCCGACCGAAGCTGCTACCTTGACGTGGTGGTCGGGCTTGCCTATCGTCATGACCCAACCGAGCTATATTGGCTGGAACATATGATCCTGAAGGTTCTACCATACCAGGCCGGTCGACTGGGGAACGACCAGACTAAAAGCAGCTACTCAAGGTCTCAGGGCGAAGTCGTACTGCTGACTACTGCAGAAGGGTGTGACAGCAGTAAGGTGTTTCCCTCGGACAACCAGCATCTGCAGCGATGCTGCCTCCTCACAAGGAAGGAAGGATTAGAAAAGGTCGACCCTAAAAGTGTCACACCTCACCCTACCTCACGGATTTCCGTCTCCGGCCGTAAGGGTGCCAACTAAGGGCCTTCAAGAGCGGAGTCAATACTAAAAAAACCCTTCATAAAAAGGCCGTGCGTGACTGGTCTGAAGCAGTTGTCCCTTGGGCTCTGCGGTCACGCTCCCAGGTCTCTAAGACCAACACTAATCTATCTTCCTTTTCAGGTCCCTCAAGAAACAACCTTCCACGGTGTGGGCAGCCGGGAAGTGACAATCGCCCTCATACCTTTAACAACAGCACACGACACCAAACTGGTCGAAATCAAATCCTTCTTACCCGTAACATGATAATCTAAATTATTTCAAATTAAATTTTTCCTCTTTGTCATAAGTAACATTAACTTCTGGTGGTCACGATACGTGGATTGTAAGTATAAAGTGATTACTTCTGTTCTCTGTTGATTGATAACTAGTATGTTGTAAACTACTCGCAACATAGCTTCAAAGTAGTATGGAGCGGAATGTCATCCAGAAGTTATTACCCAAAAGAAGAGTTTTTGATTTGGATGTATGGCGTAATCAAAGTGTGTCGAGGACTAGAAGACATGTGAAAGAATCTGTTGCTATGCAAATGGAAGTCTAAAGAAAAAGTCCACATATTTTGCTAATGACCTTTGTTTTCTCACTTAATATCATTTTGCCTTTTTGAGATAATTACGTTTTACCGAGTATCTGTCTGTATTCATTAAGCACTAAAGTATTGTTCAGTTTATAATTACGCTTTTCTTAATGATGTCTTCTGCTCATATGTTAGTCATATTATGGATAGTGAAATTGTCGACTAACAATGTATTCTTTGTATGACCGATTTAAACTTGGAAGGGGATTACTTACAAAGAAAAAACTAATAACAACAGGAAGACAATGGAATTCTTGAAATTCTGAATTTTATATAAATTGTCTTATTTATTTGTTGTTTTCTGAGGTCATTTCTATTTTATTGCTTTAAACACATAAATATTGATTCGAAAAGACAACTAATTATTTTGCATTACGGGGTTGTGAAGATTGTTAAGTTACACATTTATTGAAACCATGAATCGATCAATGTTAGACCACCACCATTAGAAACCTGGAAGCACTGAAAGACGGCCGTTTCGTCCTGGTATGGGACTCACCAGTGTCAGTGCGCATCCACGAATCCTGCACTCTGAAGGATCCGAACCAAGGACCTCCGGTATTGTGCACGAACGTCCTAACCGTTAGTCCACTGAGCCAGTATCTAACGGTGTTAATGTCTAACTTGATCAAATTCACGGAGTAGCGAAACCTCATACACAGTCTTCGGTAGACACTGCCTACACATGAACAGGTTGAACTTCACTGGTCACGTCTTCCCACTAGAATTCGGAGAAGATTCCTCGCGAAGCTAGTTACTAGTGAGAACAGGTAATTTGCATTATGAGGGGTTGTGAAGATTGTTAAGTTACACATTTTATACGCCAGCAAAAATTATTGAATTTCTGAATGAGCTGGAATACTGCCTGGGTGCTAAAACCAAAGCAGATAGTTAACAAGCCTTTAACCTATATGTATTATTCACAAGGTAGTAGTGGGTCAACGTCAGGAGGTGCGGTCTCATGGTATTCAGTAACCAAAAACAGGTTCATATCCGATCTGTCCCTTAAAAATCCTGGAACCTACATGTACTATTGGTTAGAATGAGGATTTTTAAACTCACCTACGTGAATCCTTCAGACCCATCAACCCGGTTTACATCCCTCGAGACATTTGATTTTTTGGTCCTCTCAAGTTTTTAAACAACACTACCACGAGAAGAAGGTAGTGAGTTGGACTTCCTTGTTAGTGG